CACCTCGATAATTTTCGTCGGCCAGAGTCAAGACGCGCCAAGCTAAGCAAGATCGTCCTCCAGTAAAACAATTTCCCAAAGAATAAACGTGGCGAGCGTGAGGAAACGCACATTTTTTTCATCATTGTGATCAAAGTCCAATGATGTACCTAAATTGGTACTTACGGTGTCAAACCATTGATTATGACAGGGTGAGCTTAGTTTTTCTGTCGAGGTCGACGTGACTTCACATTAAAAGCATTTTTGACGGAACAAACTAGTGAGCATCACTGCACGAACCGAGAAAGTAAAAACTTGTATTTATCTCCACGCGTTTCGTCTGACAATAGTAGACTTCATCAAGGATTTTTCAAGCAGGGTAAATAAGCTTCCTCATATACAAATAGTAAATAAGTTATCTCTTTACTATTGAAGTCAGTGGATAGAATACGCCAGGTGCGCCTACGGTGTTATACATGCGTGACATTTTCCGGACGTTACATGTAGCTTGGCATGTAGCTTGTGAGGCGTGAGTGGCCCAGTGGTCAGAGCGCTGGACTCTGGGTCGGACGGCCCGGGTTCGAGTCCTGGATGGGGCACTACGTTGTGGCCTTAAGCAAGTCGCTTCACTCACCTTGCTTCGTCTTCTCGGATAAGACGTTAAGCCGGAGGTCCCGTCTCCTGCAGGGTTTGGGGTAGGAGACGTTAATTTCCCCACGCACGAGATTACTGTGTGATGGATGTCCTCCCCTGGGTTGGGTTGGGTGGGTTTGTAACTTGTAAAGGCGCATCTGTTTATTCATATAGATATTTGCGCCGAATAAATTAAGGATGATGAACCATGTACGAGTACGTGATCCGTTGAAGGGTCACAGATTTAGTGTAAATATTTCACTCCTCAACATCACCCAATGTCTCTAGAGGTCTTAGAACGTGTCATTATATGGAGTTGCCTTCTGCGGGTAGAAGACTACAAGCGAATTTCTCAGGCGTAATTGCCTTTGATTTCTCAATTGATGTTATCATAAAACACAGTTTTTGGGAGTCACGAGACAAAAAACTTATCAGGACCTAGTTTCATGTTCTAATGGAAATAAATAGCAAATAAAAACACATTTTCTTGAGAAATAAAGTCACAAATGACGGGGGTTCTCCGAAACAAATAATGATAGAAAAAGATTTCAGTTCTGGTCAATATTGACTTTTTATGGCCTACTTCCAAATCTGAGGGAACGTGCTGAGGGAATAAAAAAACATAAATGTGTGATAATGCAAGTAAGAGAATGAAAATACAAATAAAGAAAAGGGAGAAAACATAGGAACCCGTGTGGCAGCGTGCAGATATCTTTTGAACCAGACCTACACACATAAGCCCGACACCGGCCAGAGAAACTCGACGCACGCAGGAAAGGCCATGACAATCAGCGAAAATAATAGCAAATGCAGATGATATTTGCAGTCAAAAAACAACAAAATAAGATAACGGAAGGATTAGGAACTTTTTAGAAGTGTCTTCTTGAAAAAAAAAAAAAACAATTTTTACTTCTCATAAAAGGTCACACAGTGACCCTACAAATACTATTCCTATAGGTGGAATTTATTGATGGTAGAAAGTGGAAAAACATTTTCCACTCTTATTTTCTGGAAACGCGGCGTAGTTAATGAATTTATGAGGCTATTGATATTTTACAAATAGAGAAGCCTTGACTGTGCTCTGTTCTGTTATAAAGCACGCAGGAAGCGGCTAGAGCACGAAAGAAGTGTAGGGAGAAACACGAGACGTAGTCGAGTGCTTCTTTCCACTTCTTGAGTGCTCTAGCTTAAAGTGCTTTATAACAGAACAGAGCACAGTCAAGGCTTCTCTATTTGTTTTATAATTACCCAAGCATTACTTTCAATTTCCAAAACAAACTTTATTTCCAAAGCGAACAACAATGTCGTCAGCATGCTCTATACTCTCATAAAGCACACTGCAATAAGCCAATCAGAATCCTTGTTAGAATGATTCAAATAATCTGATTGGCTGTACAAGACTAAAGCTGTCAAAAGTGTCAAACCATCGAAGTCCAAAAACCATCAAAGTTCACATTCTACTATAGTTTACAAACTAAAATAGTTCGGCAAGTCGAACTTGACAATTTTGCGTGAAGTTTTTGAGTCTCTAATACAGAATCTTGAAGTGAAATGTTCAGTGAACTTCAGCCGAATTATGGCTCATAAATACACGCGAGTTTTTTCCACATGACAAGGCAGAAAACAAACTATTCAAGGCGAGTGTTTTTTGAATGAACGACAGCCGAATTCACCGGAACATAAAGATCGCTCGTGATGAAAGCGCCGCAAAACTCGGTTGCAGTGGCTGATGTGAATTGCTCTAGCTCAGCTCTATGCTCTTTACTCTCATAGAGCACGCTCTTTCAACCAATGACAGCGTGCGTTATATGCGAACTTTATTATAATTCTTAACAAATAAGGGGGGCAGAGTTTCCCGTCATTCGCGGTATGGAAAAGCCGAAGTTGTTACTCTCGGAACTTGTACATCAACAAGCAGGCGACATGTGACCTTAAAATCTCCTCTCCTGATTATAATGATAATAGACGATCAAAGTATAGGCTAATGAATGTTTTGTTCTGTACAAGAGCCCTATGTCCTGATTTTAGCAAATCTTCAAAGTAATAAACAAACTGAAGAAAGAAACGCTACGATTTTCCCATTGATTTTCCGTCAACATGCATCTCTCTAAACGTGAAATTTTCCATTCCTACAAATTATCTCGAAAGTTTTTCACATTTTTCACCTTTCTTGACCAATCATCTTGTATAAAGAGCTAAAAAATGTAGGTTTATTTTGTCAAGTGACCGCCTAGAGCAAGAATTGCGTGACAGGTGTAGTTGAGAGAAACTTGTCACAGTCGCAGATTTTAAAAGGTATCCAAGACAAAAATACGGTAATGCCCAAAGATTTTTGATGATTTTCAGAGATGTAATGATGGGTTATTAAGGGTAATTAAGATTAGTGTTGTAGCTTTCTGGCAACGGGAGATATTTGACCTCAAAGTTGTCAAATATTTAGATGAATCGAAAAGTCTAAAAATACCATCGTATATTTGTCTCTGTTGATTGACAAGCCGTCGATCAAACTGACTGATACTCGCGGCAGCCATTAATTAAGGATGTTAAAATATGTGTGCAAATCTTAAAAGTAATCGGTTTAATACCATCGCAGTGAGAGCTTCATACATTTTACCTATTTGAAGCGATTTCCTTGGTGAAAACCAAGAAAAAGGGGTGGTCTATCTCCCCGGAAAGAAACGAAACAGAAATCAGTCTGTTTTCTGGAGTTTTAAGGTTAGACCCTTTAAACTGACAAAGTTTCATTAAAATCGGTGAGATGGCATGTAGCATGACTGCCCGGTGCTCTCGTGGACACGCTCTTAAGTCACTATCTAGCTGTTTTAGAAAGAAGGATCAGGACTTACCTGACTCTTAGTGTTTTTGTGGGAGTTGTTGATCCCAATTTAAGTGTTCTTAGAAGTTTCAGTTGTCTGTAAAGCTAAATAAATCTAACTGAAACCTAATAGGGCCTCTTTATTCTTTTCCGTTTAGTTTTTTTGTTTTGGTTTGTTTTGTTTTGTCTTTTTTTTTCTTCTGGTCTGTAATGATTTCAATGGTTTCAGGTTCTTTTCTCAGGATTGAGCTACAGTAATAGTATGCTTGTTTGTGTTGTTGCCTACAGGAGCCACTGCTTGTGTTGAATTGAAGAGATTTGAAGAAGCAAGCACTTGGTGTGATAAGGGACTAGCTGTATCCTTTGAAGGAATCTTTCATTTTTAACCGTGGGTATAAAAAAAAAGTTTCCATAATTTGATGTTTTAAGGGAGAAAATACAAAGAAGGGTATTAATTATGATGGGAACTTATCAGCTCATATACTTTAAGTGTGTGTGATTAAAAACAAAGGAGAAGTTATTACCTCATGACTTATTAATGAAATTACTCCTTTTAGCCAATTTGACTTAGTTCTACTATCCATGCCAATAACTGGTACATTAGTTTAAATAACCCTTTAATTTCCCAGACCAAATTTGTAATTGTCCTTACTGTCAACCATACAATTCTTGTAATGTTAGTACAGAGAATTTATTATTGCATCAACTAACTATTTTTAAATTGATATATTTTTTTTTACTTTCAACACTTATCTGATTGATATTGTATTGCTATTGTAAGGAGAAATTCTCTTTTGGTCACTCACGGGAGTTAAAGGGTTAGAAGACTAATATTCATCCAGTTTATACATAAAACTTGGGTAGATGATCTCTCTAAAACAAGCCAGAACAAAAAAAGCTCTTTAATGTTTACATATCTTATGCAGACTTTCTGCCTTCGACCTTTTGCCTCTACTTAGAGACTCAGAAACTTTCGTTGTGCTTTCCTATGGACAAATAAAAATTTTAAAGATATGTATTTATTTTATGTATTTTTTGTTTTTTCCACATTTTAACCCTTAACATAAAAAGATTGAAAAAAACAATGGGATCTTGTCGTCATTAAGACTTCACTCTGTCAGTGAAGTGGGAGATAAGTCCATGGAGGAAAAAGATCCTATTAGTCATGACCACGGTAGTGCAAAGTGCAGGTGATGTCAAGAAAGTCATAGATCAGGGAAAAGAAGCCATAGAGTACCACAGCTTACATCTTAAAATAGCTAAAGAAGTAGGAGGCAAGCATGGGGAGGGTCGTGCTTATGGCAATCTTGGCAATGCTTATTTTAGTCTGGGTTATTTAAAAAAAACCATAGAGTACCACAACCTACATCTTAAAATAGCTAAAGAAGTAGGAGACAAGCATGGGGAGGGTGATGCTTATGGCAATCTTGGCAATGCTTATCGCAGTCTGGGTGATTTGAAAAAAGCCATAGAGTACCACAACCTACATCTTAAAATAGCTAAAGAAGTAGGAGACAAGCGCGGGGAGGGTGATGCTTATGGAAATCTTGGCAATGCTTATGACATTCTGGGTGATTTCAAAAAAACCCTAGAGTACCTCAGCCTACATCTTAAAATAGCTAAAGAAGTAGGAGACAAGCATGGGGAGGGTGCTGCTTATGGCAATCTTGGCAATGCTTATCACAGTCTGGGTGATTTCAAAAAAGGCATAGAGTACCACAACCTACATCTTAAAATAGCTAAAAAGTAGGAGACAAGCATGGGAGGGTGCTGCTTATGGCAATCTTGGCAATCCTTATCTTATTCTGGGTGATTTCAAAAAAGCCATAAAGTACCACAACCTACATCTTAAAATAGCTAAAGAAGTAGGAGACAAGCATGAGGAGGGTAACGCTTATGGCAATCTTGGCAATGCTTATCACCATCTGGGTGATTTAAAAAAGGCATAGAGTACCGCAACCTACATCTTAAAATAGCTAAAGAAGTAGGAGACAAGCGTGGGGAGGGTACGACTTATGGCGATCTTGGCAATGCTTATCACATTCTGGGTGATTTCAAAAAGCCATAGAGTGCCACAACCTAAATCTTAAAATCGCTAGAGAAGTAGAAGACAAGCGTGGGAGGGTAACGCTTATGGCAATCTTGGCATTGCTCATGGCAGTCTGGGTGATTCAAAAAAAAGCCATAGAGTACCACCACCTACATTTTAAAATAGCTAAAGAAGTAGGAGACAAGCATGGGAGGGTGCTGCTTATGGCAATCTTGGCAATGCTTATGACAGTCTGGGTGATTTCAAAAAAAGCCATAGAGTACCACAACCTACATCTTATAATAGCTCAAGAATTAGGAGACAAATCCTGGGAGGCAATTACCTACTCTTCATTAGGATTGGTTTTTGAGTTACAAGGTAGACTGCCAAAAGCCGTTGAATATTATCAAGCTAGCATAAACTTATTCAATTCCTTGAGAGCACTTCTAATATCTAAAGATGAGTGGAAAGTTAATTTTCGAAATCAGCATCAAAAGGCGTATACGGGTTTGTGGAGAGTTCTCGTAGAACAAGGTAATGTAGATGAAGCCTTATTTGTTGCTGAGAAAGGACGAGCTCAAGCTCTGACCGACCTCATGGAATCCAGTTTTTGTGGTGGAACAAGTCACCACAAGGGAGAAGATGAAGATTGCGCAGTTTTAAAAAACGTTCCATCCAACACTGTCTTTCAGGCAGTGGACAAAGCTAACGTCAATCTTTGGGTTGTGTCTGAAGGAAAACAAGTCTACTTAAGACAATGTAAACTCAAAGGTTTTGGTTCAGAGAATAGTGGATCTAGCCTGTTCTTTGAGTCGTTCATGCTCGGTGTCTATACACAACTTGGTGTTCGTTCTAATGTGAGATGCGAGAATCGATCTTTAGATGCTTTGAGGGAGGGCCGTTCAAAAGTGGATGAGAAAACCAAAGAAGCCAAGCCTCAACCTCACATCCAACAAGACGGATGCTTGAGCACTTTGTATGATATCGTTATGATGCCGGTGGCTGACTTGATTGAAGGGGATGAGCTACTCATTATTCCTGATGGACCCCTGTGGATCGCTCCTTACGCTGCATTGAAGGATGGTAATTCTAAATACCTGTGTGAATCGTTCACAATCCGAGTCGCTCCATCGTTAGAAAGTCTTAGACTCATTGCTGATTGCCCAGATGATTATCACAAAAGCAGCGGTGCGTTACTTGTAGGAGATCCGTGGGTATCCGAGGTTACTAACAGCGAGGGAGAGAAAGTCCTCAAGCAGCTTCCGTGTGCTAAAGAAGAAGTAGAAATGATCGGAAAAATTCTGAATATCACACCAATCATTGGCAGTCAGGCCACGAAACAAGAGGTGTTGAAAAGACTCAGTTCCGTTTCCCTAGTTCACTTTGCGGCACACGGATGTATGGAAACTGGCGAAATTGCTCTTACACCTGACCCACACCGAATGTCTACTGTGCCAACGGAGGAGGATTACATTTTAACAATTGGAGATGTGTTGAATGCTCAACTTCGGGCCAAACTTGTTGTGCTTAGTTGCTGCCACAGCGGCCGGGGCGAGATCAAGGCTGAAGGTGTGGTTGGCATTGCACGCGCTTTTATGGGGGCTGGTGCTCGATCTATTGTGGTGTCCCTGTGGGCGATTGATGACGAGGCTACTCTTGAGTTCATGAAACACTTTTATCAACAACTTGCAGGAGGTAAACCAGCAAGCGAGTCACTGAACCTGGCCATGAAAAGCCTCAGAGAATCAGACACGTTCCGCGACATCAAATACTGGGCGCCCTTTTTGCTGATTGGAGATGACGTCCTCTGGACTTCTTGGCAAAGGAAAGAGAAAATTTAATTTGAATATGAAATCACATAAATGAAAACTTTTTATTTCATCTCAAATGAATGACGCAGGAACTTGGAAGGTTTAAATGCTTCTCCATTTTGGCGCTTTTTGGCTATTTTTCATTACTTTTCCCTTTTTTGTTAAATGGAACTTGAGATGTGTGACTTTACCTTGGTGAAGAAATAAAACAGACTATTTCAGTATATTTTGTTCAGTGAAATTGCTATTTTTTTACCTTTACAAATTTAGATGCTTCCGAAGAGAACAAGATGCAACAAGGCTTCTGCTGTTAATGCCTGAAGTTGTTGAAAACGACTACGAGGTTTTCGTTTCGCCAAAATGACACTCAGATCTATTCCTTTATTGCAATCAGTTATGTGTAAAATAATTTAAAGGTTTCTTTTCTTGTACACAACCAGGAGCTTGTCCACCAGGTTTTAATTACGTTGAAACTCTAAGCTTTTGATAAGCAAAGAAACAGTTTGTCATTTGCAAAAGGTGGTGAAATTTTAATTTCAAAAATCTGATTTGCAAAATTAGTAGCCATATGTGAATTGATCTTAATGGTTTTTCTACGTCATAAATTACTTTGATGCAATTTGCAATTATCTTTACAAAGAATTGATTATAACTTTTATAAAATAACTTTTTCCAATCCATTTTAATGAAATCTAATTCCATCAGTGCCAAGATTGCCATTCTAAGCTTAATTTGAAGAAGTAATCATCAGAGATGATGTTGTTGAATTTACTGACCATATGTTAGAGACATTAGACCTACTATCAGTGGTGTGGCCAGCCTCTAGTTCCGTGGGCCCGGCCTACAATTGTTTTCCGCCCGCTTGACTTTTCTAATATGACTCTTACAAATGTTGAAAAAAAAATTGAAATTTCTCAGGAAAAAGGCCTACAACAAGTCAAAGAGCTGGCTACAACGGCCTGCTTTCAATCAAACGAGTTTGATCAATTTTAGTCCGTTTTATCAAACGCTCATCAGTTTGTTTTTAGAGAACGACGACAGAGACAACTTGTCTATGCAATCTAAACAAGGAAATAGCGAAGCAGAGTTTACTTTAACTGAAGTTTCCATTGCTGTGACTTTTAATGTAGGTGACATGGAATTTGCTGTTTTCATTAGGAAAATATTTACGCCAATAAATTAGGGAAATACTTGAAGTAAGCCATGTAGTCCTCAATGGGAATTATTTTGGTGAAAATGTTCATGAATAAATGTAAATCTAGGCCGTAGTTAAAAAGGTTCAGGGCTTCAGGATAAAAACTTGCATTTTTTTGAAAATTTCCTGTTCAAATTTTTTTCAGGGCTTTAAATTTACTTTAGTATAATTTGGAGATGTCTGATGATATCTTTCTTAGATCTAAGAATTTATACTTAGGTATTCAGAGCACGCTTTGTAATTAGAACCCGTTATGTGGTCAAAAGTTTAAGGTATACTGTATCACAGCTGTTTTAAAAGAATTTTTTGTCAAATCAATGTTAATTTTTGACAGATTTTCATAACTACCATTGGTATATGCTGATATAAAATGTAATAGTTAACCTTGCACATGGTTGAATATGATGTAACGTAGGATTTTAAAAACAAGCTGGGACAATTTCGACTAAACATTTTTTATAATATCAGTGTATTTGGTGTGAATTGTTTTGATGCTATTTGTATTTAAAGTTGAAGCTATTTGTTCATTTACCTAAGTTTTTATTCATTGACTCATTAACTCCCAAGTTGTGAAGAAAAATTCTCCCAACTGATAAGAATGTGTTTCTTTGTTGCTTCATTCTGAGAATTCGATGAAACATAACGTTTCTAGTGAAAAATAATCCGCTAGTTTAGATTTTCTCTAATTCTTATTGACACCATGTTTGTCGGTGCATTAATTTTGTGAGGAGAATTTAAGTTATGACCAATCTTGGGAATAAATGGGTTCATTTTAGTGTCTCCGTTTAGCGTGTACTTTACTTAATGCCTTGAACAATTTAATGCAGTTTGTATTGTACTTTTTTTTACTTTTTTGTGTAAGAGAAATAGAGAGTGTATAAAATACAAAAACTGCCTTTGTTTTCATTGTCTGTCTCCATATTCTAAGGATTCGAGGACTTCAATGCTTGTTTTGACCCGCGCGCGCCAAGTTGATAATCATTGCAGCTGACAGTGTACTGACATTCCATGTTTCAAGCGCTCGTCGACTCTTCGATTGTGTCTCTTTCACTGTCTACCGTTCTCCATATTGTCACACGATTTTGAATGCCGACGGACGTGTTCTTACTGTTACCTGTGTGCGCCCTTTTTACCTTTTTTACACCTTTTCACATTTGTGCATCTGTTTTTTCTCCTTCCTTTTCTTCCTTCCCTTTTTTTTTTCATCGTACTTTTCCTTTATTCCATTTTTTACACGCACTTCTTTCATCGCCCTCAACTTTATTCTTCTACGCGCCTCATTAGACGCGACTTTTTCCTGTCTGTTTCAGTTTTCATTCGTCTCAATCCTCGCGCAACGTCAGGTCTCTTGCAACTCATATACCTTCTTATTTCCCCAGAGTAGTTGTTATTATGCTTATTTTGTTCACTTTAGAATGCTGTCCTCTTAGCATCATGTCTAGTAAAATCTTAGTTTTCCTTTCGACTCATTCCCAGTCCACAGGGGTCTCAATTTTAAGTCCCACTTGCCAGTGTTTGCTCTCCTCGGTCCCCTCATCACAGTAGCAGCTATAAAACGAAAGAGCTCCCTCCATGTCTCTGCGACATAATCGATGCATTTTGTTGGAAACGAGTCCTTTAATATCAAATTAAGGCTTCTTCTGTCACTGATTGGGAATGGATCAAACTCTCGCCCAGGGTCCACCTACATCGCGAGTCCAAGATGGCAGCAGGCCAATCAAAGACTTCTCCGAGTCGGTAACCGTCATCTTGGATGTAGACGCAGAGAGGAACTTGAAAAGTGTTTTTACAAGACAATAATCAAGAAAGGTTGTTATTGTAATGCTTCCTAAGAGGTAGTCGATAACAGCCCGAGAGATTCATTAGGAGCAAACACGTTCCGTCGATTATTGGACTCCATGTCTCCTTACGTTGTAGAACAAACTCCTCGAATACGTACGCCTATATGCCCCTCTCCTCCTCCCCTAAATAGCACTATACATCCCTTTATTGAAACTTTTAAAATTATACAGCACAATACAACATTATACCCCTGAGTAGCACTGTAAATCCGTGAAATGAAGTAACTGTGCAGCGCATCACAACAATATGAACCCCTAAATAGTACTATGCTTCCCTCTACTGAATTTTTTTCAGCATACAGCGCTCTATAAACTATTGCTCCAATTTAGCACGAAAATAATTGTGGATATTTGTCCGCGGACATCATCTATTCCAAGATGCCAAAACTGTGAGCTTCGAAGGACAATGTCCAAGGACAAATATCCGAACATATTTTCGTGCAAAAAGAGACTATTGTGATTTTTATCCTTCAGTTATTTTGCAACGCTCGTGAAAGAATCTCTATGAACAGTTCACTGAATTGAATTAAATTTGAAACGAAGACTTATCGAGGTAGTCGTAAGGTTTGCAAATTGGGGAATATCGCTTGCGGGGTATTCTCGGATACCACCCAGTATTAGCTGGGGGATATTTAGTCATTTGCGGCATTTACACCAATTACACGCGAGGAAAAATATTTGATGGATCATAAAAAGCAACAAGTACCCCTAGATAGCACTATACTTCCCTCTTCCACAATTTACATCACAATACAGGGCTATAAAACAACATGTACCCTTAAATAGTACTATACTTCTCTCTTCTGCAGTTTACATCACTATACAGCGCTATACAACAATATGTACCCCTAGATACCACTATACTTCACTCTTCTGCACTCTACATCACGATACAGCGCTATAAAACAACATGTACCCTTAAATAATACTATACTTCTCTCTTCTGAAGTTTAGATCACTATACAGCGCTATACAATAATATCTACCCTTAGATAGCATTATACTTCTCGCTACTGCAGTTTATATCACTATACAGCGCTATACAACAATATGTACCCCTAGATACCACTATACTTCACTCTTCTGCACTCTACATCACGATACAGCGCTATACAACAATATCTTCCCTAGATAGCATTATACCTCTCGCTACTGCAGTTTACATTACTATACAGCTCTCTACAACAATATTTACCCCTAAGTAAACCTTGATCGGCATAACAGAATACATACATCGAAATTTTCCATGCTTTGTGTCTTTCTCCAAGGTTCATTAAATACTCGATGAAAACCTTTGCGTCGTTCAAAGAAAACGCAGCATTTTCCAGCGCAGTCGTGACTCGTTTGACGTGAAGACACAGAGATGGCGAGTTGATTAAGTCTTTAAATTTCAAACTCTTAAAGGCGGGAAATATTTCTGAAACAAAATCATTCACGAACATCACTTTTAATTCTGAATAATGTAAATTCTATTAACGTTTACTTTAGATAATAAATTTTACTCCAACGATACAAAGGAATCAATACACTAAGCAATACCTTCAACAAGACACAGTTACACAGTTGTAAATCTCCATCCTCATCCTCAGTAGAACTATGCTATCACAAAGGTGGAATAATCGCGGAAGAATAACCGCGCTTAAGACCTTCCTTTATACCAAGGAATTCGTGCCACTGGATTCGACATGTGCCAGTAACCTACTTACACATTTAAGGTGACGTTCAGCTAAGATCAGCAAACTGTTTCTTTTTTTTCTTCATTTTAAACGATTCCAATCCTAATAGTGGTATCATATTTGCATAAGAAAGCTAATGTCAACTCTAGACTCTGCATTAATTTTTTTTCATGAAATGAAACACAACAAAGCAGAGATACCACGTATTTAAATCACTAACCGTTTAAACATTTTCTTCCACATGACGCTCTTAACGGGCTCAACGAGCTGCCAAAATTCTCTTCAAATCCGTTTTCGTTCGTGTGATAGCTTGACCTCTATTTCGATTTGACAGTTCAGTTCGACAGTTTGACTGTTAAACCTCAAATGAAGATTAGTAGACACCAGTTGAATAGATTTATGAATTTGCTTAACGGCGAATGAACGCATTGAAATCAAAATTGATTTTCTTTAAGCTCAGCTCACTGAACTACAAATCTGCTGTCAGATGATTAACGTGGATGCTATTCTAGTCCCTTAAGACGACGAAACTACAACTAAAGGGCGCCTAAAGACTATATAGTTTTTATAGTTTTGAGGCGCCCTTGAGATTCTTATCCTATTCAATTTCAAGCTTGACTTTTCCATTTCACTTTTTGTATTTTTGGCCATTCTCTGAACCGTTTTTGTCAAGTTACTGAACCAAAGGACAGTTAGCTGAACCGTTTGTCATTTCGACACTGAACCATTTCAGTTAACACTTGGCCACTCATGTTTTCATTGAATCAGTTCAACAAGGGTGGCTACACAGCTCCTCAATTGATTGTATAAACCATTTTTGTTTGAATATTTTATTTAACCAAATGCGACTTGTCCATTTGTATTTTAAATAAATCTCCTAGGATAAGATAAATCGTTCTCCAAAAGACAATTAGACTCTATCTGTTATTACAAACCGACTCTATTTTTGTATTTTTGGCGATGACAGCTGCCCATATGTGGGCTCTTCTTTCTATTTTAGTTGGAGAATTTCCGGCTTCAAGCTTGCACAGATTTGTGGGCCAAGGAACTCCTGTTTAGTTTTCACAACGCGCCGTTGCGATTCTCCGTTCCACGACATAGCTTTCAAGTCTTTCTTATTACTTTCTCTGTCTTAGTGACTTTGAAACATTTTCATGACGAACAGAGGAAGCAAGGTCGTAAAATAGTCAAACGTGCCTTCCATTTCCGCGACAGAGGTAAGAACGCATGGTTGTACCAGATTTTTGAGTGTAAGGTAAATACTTTTATTTTAAATTTTTTTAGTTGAGATTTCCTCCTTCAAATGTTCCTCATCTTTCCGAACTTTCTCTGATTTCCGACAATGAAAGACGTTCCTGCAGTTAAGTGACGACGATTGCCAACTTTTACTTTATTCTGGCGTGTATTAATTGTATTGCCGCTTCGTGTTAGTTACAAGCTTATTAAGCTGAGCTTGTTTGAACAAGTTACAGCTGTCGAATTCACAAAAATTCGCAAGCAATGCCTGGCATTTACCTTGGACAAAATAAGTAATTCGGGAGAGTTACAAAGGATATCCAAATTATCGATTTGATTCAGTGCAAGCTCTTTTGATCGCAACACTTTCAGTTTCGTTTGCGTGTCGTTAAGAACAAAGCATCCACATCCTTCAGCCTGATGATGACGGAGTACAAAAATCTTTGTGTACAAGATGATTCAGGTTAGCAAATATAGTGATATGCCTATACGGCCAAAGCCATAAGGTTATGCGGTAATTTAAAAATACAACAACCCGGCGAAACTTGAGAAAACCCAAAAGATGGCTACAATGAGATATGTGCGCTTCAAAGTTACAGTATGTCTGTATCTCAGCCCCAACATCAGGGCTAGAAGCTTGTCCACGCTTATGGCCGTCATCGTTGACAAAGACACTCCACATAATGTAGGCTGCGTCCCTTGCGTGTTGACAGAGACTCCAGTGTTCGTGAACCAAGGACATATAGTAAGTAGCCATGATAGACTGGCTAAAATGCCAACCAACAGGTCAGTTGTTGCCAGACAACGATACAAGAGTTTGGACGGCGGGTGAAGTGAAGATTCCTTGTGAAGGGCAAAAAGATAAGAGAATTCCCAAGACTGGTTATGAGGGAGGAGAACATAAACTGCTGAGTAGTAGATGGATTGTGGTTTAAATCTATTTACCAAAGAAGGGTGCTCCATCTTCGGTTAGATTTGTTTCCGCTATCATTCTGCAGTCGTTTAGTTTTTTCTTCAGAATACGTATGATCGCAAAAGGAAATATTTCGTCTTGAGAGCACCTGCCCAGCGTTGATCACTTAAACTTTACTTTTTCAGAATAATCATATGAAAACTTTTTCAGTCGCGTTTACTCTTTTGAAATGCTCGGAAATACTGTCAGTTGTGTACAAAAAAATGGTGAACCATTTTTCTTAAAGCCTTTCTTTTGCCTCAGCTATGATTTATCGAAACGAGGTAAGAACAAAACATTTGCAAATGTTAATATTTTATAGCGCGATAGACAATCCTTCGTCGCGCAGACGAACAATCATTTTATTCAGGTAGAGCGCATTTATCGAAAACAAAAAAAAAATTATTCATCATTTAATTTCGTTACTCAATAATCACTTTCTTCGCTTTTTCTTCAGGTTACTCGTAACTGCATGTAACGAGAGATATTTTTGTCTTGAAAGCGCCTGCCAGGCTGCAATCACGTAGACCTTTTCATTGAAACTTTCTCAGTAATACGGTTCACTTATTTAACATGCGAATACTCCATGCTTCTTCTGTCACATGAGCTGTTAATTTCTTCCCAGGAGTCGCATTAAATATAACTTTTTGTAAATTTCTTTTTAACGGGTAATTCTGTCATGTTATTCCATCAATAAACTCTAAAAGTTCCCTCCAAATTTAAGAAAGGTTTTTTATAGCAAATTTCCTGCAAATTGTCTTTGTCAATTAAGAGAGGCTGGATGTTTGTCGCCTAACTGTGTTGCGCGTCACAATTACATTACATGTTTATTCAACTTGGTTAGTTTAATCTTTGAATAACTTTGCGCTAAGAGGTAAAAATAAAAATAAAATAATTTCCTTTTTTATTACTCACAGTATAAGGCAAAAACTGTCCCTACTTAGGAAGAGTGACGTTGATAGGATAAATGAGTAAGTGTTGATAGAAAGTCTGAAGAACAACCCGAGGAAGACCTGACTCAGCGATGTGTTTCTTTAATTGTCTGCTTCACTTTTTGTCTCACTTCACTCATCTTCCAGAATTAGCAGTTTATTTAGATATACTGTCATTCTTTCGTTTTCTGCAGCGTGGTTAATTATCAATTCCAAAAGAGGTTTATCAAACAAGTTTAAAGAAATAAAGAAGCGAAAATCAGGAATAATAAATCGCTCAGAAGTAGAAGAAATGGTTTCCACAAAACTTGAATATATTACATATTTTCAAACGACGATAATGTTTTTCATGCAATATTGTCTCCCCTTCCCCACGTCCCTTAATTTAGGATTAAAAGAGTGACCGATCTGGAGGCAAAGTCTGTAACAACCATTTACAGTCAGTTTCATTTCGCACCCTTTTGTGATTGCGTTACGCACAGGAAGCCCATGAGCGTGAGAATGCTTATCTTCGCCTTCCCCTTCCTTGCTCGGCATTGTTTGAAATTGCTTTGTTAGCTAAAATGCCGACATGTTGCTACTCTGAGCTCGTTGGTGGTTCTTGTAGTTCCCGCTAGACCAGTGGAGAAAGTAAATGCATAGTCCTAACTAAGTGCAAAAGAGACATCCAAGGTCATCTTAAAACATATAAATGCCATGATGCTCAGCTGAAAAGTGAGTTCATTCTTCTTCTCGCCAGAGCAGGAAATTATCTCATTATCAAACATGTCAAGAATGTTTAGCGAAGGCAAATACTGTATCACTCTTTGTCCTGCTTTTCTATTTTGCACTAAGATCAATGAGGTTATAACGTGACACAGTTCAACGCCCTTGATTTTATCTTTGCTTTAAGATTTATTTCTTGAATCCACGTAAACGCTTGAATCCAAGACAACAGGATGCTAAACAGCATTATATGTTGTCATGAAATATAAAGCATTGGTCCATGCCTACAATTTATTTAATTATTTATTTATCATCCATTCCTTCCTTCTTTCATTCCTTCATTTATACATTTATTTATTTATTTATTTATCCATTCATTAATTTATTTAATAAGTACACATATTATATAACTATTATAAATAAGATCCATTATATTTACATTGTTTTACGAAATGGGTTTGGGGGAGGGCCGGGGCTTGCATTGCATTGCGCACCCTCTACTCCAAACTAAGTTCATATGATTTGCAATTTTCGTTTGTTTGTCTCGTTGTTTTATGTTTTTGTTTGTGTGTGTGTGTTTGTGTTTTTGTGGTTTGTTTGTTGGTTTTGCTTTTGTATTTCTATCACTCTGAGTAAACAAGTACACGACTTCGTTTTTTCAGGAATATTTGTCGAGGAGTCGAGGAAAGCCATAAAGAACTTTTAATTTGTCCCAGACTTAGAGACGACTTCGGGACCAGATGGCTATGCATTAAAAAAACAACTGCTCCTTTCCATCGGATTGGGTTCCACATGAGAAGTCTTCGCGGAAAGGTGATCGAGGCATGACTCTGTAACAGTCTCAAAAGCTTTATGCTTTAACATCTACACTTCAGTTCCGGTGGGAGTCACGTGAGTATACATCAGAATACCATCCTGACCGCCACCTTGATAAGAAATAGTATCAGGATAGCAGAAGAGAAAACTACCCTCATTGATAAAAGCAAAGATACTCTATGTGCAAAAGCTGACAGAAGGAACAAGCACACAACCTCAAATGGCCAGCTTTACTGCACTGATGTCAAGCTCGACTAAACTTTCGGAAGGCTGGTCACTGAGGGCGTCTAAGAAATCAAAGCATTTCAACGAAAACCAAAAGAATTATCTCGATGAAGAGTTCAAACTTGGCCAGGAGACTTGTTACAAAGAAGATCCATCCCAAGTTGCGAGTGATATGCGTCGCGCTAAAAATGAAAACGGAGAGCGTCGATTTGCTGTTGGCGAGTTTTTATCACCACAGCAGATAAAGTCGTATTTCTCAAGGTCAGCAGTAAAGATCAAACAGGCGGATCGGTGGCAGAGATCGATGTACCAGCCATTGATGAAGAAATGGCATACTCCTCAGCTCATGACAAGATAATTCAAGAGTGCCAGCTTAGTCATCCCATTTTGTATGACACATACCACCTCTGTCAACTGTATGCCACGAACAAGCTTACTCGTTTCATTATTTCTTTCCTTCAAGATATATGCACATATTTCCAATTGGAAATCGATTCCCTTCCTGCTACACGAAAAGCGCCATACGTTGGTCTGATCAATGAACTGATAAAGTCGTGTACGTGCAAAGAAAAATAGGAACTTTCCAGCTGGAACTGACTATAGTCTTCGTATTCAGAAAGTAATGACTCATGGAATAGAGGGACGCCAACATTATTCCAACTGCCTTAAGATTATCCCTTTGAAGCTTTGTTATAAAAAAATTGACAGTGAAAACCTCACGTTTACATAAACATGTTTTAGATCGAAAGGATTTTATAGACCAACCTTGTTCTGTTAAAAACGTTGGTCATCTTCTGTATCATCACTTAATGGACTTCCTGTGTGTAACGCAATCACATACCATCGATCGCACTGCAGTGGCGAGAAATGCTAGCATGGATAAGTTTTGAAAACGGTGAAGCGGGTTAAAGTGCGTACTCTTGACATGGAAACCACTTCTAAAAGTAACTTTTTGTGTAATTATAGCCTGGGCAATTCCTTCTGATGTTAAAAAAGTTTTTTTTATCGTTGGGTTGGTATTACTTGCGAATATGACCGTTGTAACAACATAAACCAGCAATTTGCATATACTAGACTATCGAAGATTGCCCAGATTGCCTTGACTTTTTGGCTTCAGGAGAAAATCATATGTATATTTAATATGAAAGAGACCTGTTTCGAAGTTTTTTATATGAAATAAGAGGGAATTCGAGTGTTTTGGTAATGTTTTTCTTAATATGACGTGCAAGTCACGTTGGTCACGTAACGCGCCTCTTATATAAATCGCTCTAAAAATTAGTGGTTTAAATAGCCCAAAAATTTTATTGCAGTTTCTAAAAGAAGAAGCCTTGTTCTTGACAATGATTATTGTCTCATGGTCAGTTTATGGAGCTTCCCCTGTTCTTGCAACGAGAAATATTTCGTCTAAGCAGGACACGCCGAACTATGATAACTGAAACCTTTCATATAGACTTCCTCCCTCGCGTTTAATCATTTAAAATGCGTCAGAAATTTGCAGCTGTGGGATGCCTCAGGTATGAAACTGATTCTGGTTGAAGCCCAACCAACAAAGAGGAGAGCATAGCAGTTCTTCAATTGTTTTCGTCTGTGTTCCAACTCTCTGAAATTTGTTGTAGGTTATCTAAGATTGCAACGAGTAATATGTCGTCTAAACAGCCCACATCCAGCCACGATCAATTACACCTCATACTTCAATAATGATATTTATACACACTGAGAATTCTTCATCAGTGTTTGCTCGTTTAAAATATGTCAGAAAATTGTCAGTTGTGTTCAAAAATTTAGCCTTTGAAGTGCCTCAGGTATGAAATGGAAATAAGTAGAAAATGGAGAGACATCTGTGGTATCATTCTTTTAAAAGAACGACGAACAATCTCCTTTTATCTAGATCAACTGTCACTGATAGGGTGCTAACCTGGTGTCCATATTATTCGTGTGAAGTTCAGACTTGTGTCATTAGTAGCCATGAAAAATTGGAAATTAAAATTTCAAGCTGGCGCGATTTTATTTGGTCTTAGAAAAGTGCGATTTGAGACAATCTGCGAATGCATCAAACAATTTAAATGTAAATTTTGGTCACAGATGTAAACGTATTTTTAAATGTTTGAATCAATTTGTAATGACAGGTTTTTTCTTTCCGCTTTTCGTCCCCGGACTGATATTAAAAACAAAACCGTAACACGATGTTATGCCGCGCGCCATCGATTTTTTCAAACTCGTTCTCTACCAGCTTTTTCACTTTCGTCAGGAAAGTTATGATGATTTTTTTTAACAAAAACTGTTTTCCCTATTTTGCCTATTTCGCCCCACGATGTAATTTCCTTTCTTCATCCCTTTGGTCAACAAGGTAAGAGAAATGGGCGCTAACTGAAAATAAAGGAGGCGGAGAAACCATCAGCCATGATGGCACTACGCGCTCGGTATCGTTTTAATCCCAGAGTTCCATCGGGTACCAAAAAAAATTTCTTTTCGTTTGATGCCAATTTTTATTCCAACTTTACATTTGTCATTTTCGATCTACAATTTTTCTTCCTTTAATGTTAATTCCTTTAGCAAGCACACAGACATCGGTCAGTAATATTTCTGTTTAACGATATGATAAGGAAATTCTCTTTTGTCAGTTTTTGAATGACAGCATAAGCGGTTTAAACGGTATATTTAAATATACTGTCATTCTTTTGGGCCGGTTATTAAGTGCAAACATTATCCCTGTATTGTGGTGAATTCTGAATTCCTAAAAAGCGTCATGGAACGAGTTCAAGGAAAAAGAAGCGAAAGTTAGGAATAATTAATCACTCGGGTTGGGAGACATAAGATCAATAAAACTTGAAGAAAACACAGACCAGCATTAAACTGGATATATCAAATATTTCAAAAGTTGACAATATTCTTGCCATGAGTTAATCTGTGATAGCATCCAGAAAAATATTTCATTTTAGTTAACACCAATTGCACAAGAGCGATCCCTGAAACCTTATTTCCTACGTAACATTTCAAATGAAAACCTTCTCACTATTGTTTATACGTTTGAAATACGTCAGGAAATTGTTCGCTGTGTCAAAAAAGCTTTTTTGTGCTTAACTTGTCATGTACATCACGTATGAAATATGAATAAGAGGCAACTATTCAAAGACATCTTTAAAATTATTGTTTCATGTTGCAACAAACAACCCCGCTTTATTTAGCTTGCGAGAAGGCACTCAATATTATGGCTTCAATGCGAATTGAATAAGTTTGAGGATGTAAGGCCAAAGATGCAAAGACTAGCTGACAGAAAAACTAGATGAATGACTTAATTAATTGCTAAGAGATGCGTCAATCCTTCCTCAGAAAGAGTTCTTTCACAGGGAATTTTCTTTTCAGTACAGCGACGGTAGCTTTAAAACTAATCAAACAAAAAGATGTTTGTCGCAACCAGCTGTTGATTTTACTAGATAACGTTTCAGTTTAATTCAAATTAGCATTGAAAGGGAATTTCCTTGACAAACACAAAGACATGAGCTATATTTTTTTATTTTACAATGCGATATGAGACTCCTAGGTCTTAAAAGATCTATTTTATCACTTCTTTAATGGGTGAAGTAAACATGTCGTTTTTAGGCCGATAATTAGATGGTATAGTATTGAAGCAAATTCTGAGCTCATAATAAAGCTTTGAAAACGAATAAAAAAAAACATTTGAGGAACTTTGGGACAGCAGTTAATCACTCGGAAATGGAGGAAATAAAATTCGTAGAACTCAGAGACAACCTAAAGATACACCAGTAAGAAACTGAACATATGGTGACCTCTATACAATAATACGAAACTTGTTTTTCGCCGTTGCCAATATAACTTCGGCACATCGATCGATCTGTAAAAAAAATTCCATAACAAACAGAGATGATCAATTTTATTTCATACACTTTCGTAACTTTCAGTTAAAAATACAAGTAACAGAAACTTCTTCACATAAGCTTTACGGATAATTTTCTGATCACAAAACAAACAAATTCTAGACTTAAACTGGACTGTCTCTTTTGGCAATATGGCGTCAACATCAACGTCAAGCGCTTTCTTTTAATTACAGGAAAAATGAGTCGAAATAGTTTTCTCGAAACACACAACATCGGCCTCAAACACATCTCTTAAACTACTCTTTGAAGTTTTATCTGACGCCTTCATATTGCTAAGAGAAGAAAACATGAAAGTAAAATGTTTGCATATATTTCCTTCGATTATGACATCTTAGTATTTTAGCATAGCGGCAAGAAACCTTATTTTTGAAAACATATAGCTAGGGTTACCTAGTCTGTCGTTAAATTATTCTCGGACTATCGACAACAGCCTGTGCGACCATTCCATTGAGCCACTTATTTTTTTTTATCCAATAACTTATTTAACGACTGCGCTCTAATAAAAATCGTGACTTAATAAGTCCGCTTCAAAAGTCTGAAGAACAACTCGAGGAAAATCTAAGTCAGCAAAGAGCTTCTTTCAGTGTCTGCTTCACTGCTTGTCTCACTTCACTAATCTTCCAGCAATAAAGAAACGGGTTTAACGTCGAGTTAAAGTAAACAAAAGTAACTGCTACTTTCCGTGTGACAACTAAGAGTAGTGAATATTTTTTAGTATGAGCGATCACAATTGCGACTGTACATATTGGTGCATAACAAACAAATAATGCTAACTGCACCCACGGTGCACTGTATACTGCATTTCTGAATCGCGCCATGTTCAGTGCATTTGTTTGGCTCAGCTGTTGCTGATCTCGTACTTGTGCTTGGTGATGTCTGAGAGTGCAAAAAATCTTTGTGTACGATGCGACTGATATTACCAGGCAAAATGATGTAACTAGGAAGCTGTATAAAAAGATTATAGGGCGATGAAAAAATCCACTTAAAGAGGCCACAAGGTTAAAAATCCAAAAGGTAGTTACAATAATATACGTGCGCTTCAAAGTTACAATTTGCTTGTATCTTAGTCCCAACAACAGGGCGAGAAGTCTGTCCACGCTTATGGCCGTCATCGTCATCAAAGACACTAAAACAATATATAGCCTGTGATGTAGGCTGCGTCAAATGCGTATCGACAAAGGCTCCAGTGTTCCTGAACCGAGGACATCCAATAGGCAGCATAGAGAGGCTGAGCAACAAGACCAACCAACAGATCAGTCGTTGCCAGAGAACGGTACAAGAGTTTGGACGGCAGGTGGAGGGGAGATTCCTTGTGAAGGGCAACGAGGATGAGAGAATTCGTAAGGAATACTGTGATGGAGAGGAGAATATGTACTGCTGAGGAAAAAGTGAATCTTTGGTGTAATCCACCTCCAAAAGATGGGGTGCATAACAGTTCTTCAAATGTTTTCGTTTGTGTTCCACCGCTAGTGAACTTTTTTGCCGACATTGTTCTGTAACCGTTTCCCTTTTCTTGTACTAAGGCAACTTGTGACGAGAAATATTTCGTTTAAGCAGCATACGCTGAGCGACGATGACTGAAACTTCCTTCAATAAACAAGTAGAGACTTCCTCATCAGCGTTTGCTCATTCAAAGTGCGTAAACAAATTGTCTGTTGTGCCAAAGAGTTGATTGCTTTTTCCGGAACCCCTCAGATTTAAGCTTCTTTTTAATATTAGAATTCATTTACATTTTAATGGTTTGATGCATAATTTTATGCAGATGATATGGACACTTGATTAGCTCCCTATCGATGAAAGATCATTAGGAGACGTGACTAAAATAGGAACAAGTGAGCTTTAAGAGTCAAACGTATAGACAGACATCTTTGATACTATTAGTATTTCATAATTATTGTAAACGTCGTCTTCTCAGGTAGAAATTCACCTTTAGCTGAACGGAGATGGAGTCTCACGTTTAGTCTCGGAAATTATAGGTTTTGGAAAGAATTCATTAAGAAAAGGAAAGTGTTTATTTAAATCCATACGCCCCCTTACACAATGTTTGTTATTATCAATGACATTTTCAAACATTCATAGGCAATGCGGATATTTTTCTAATGACAAAACAAATTCAAGTTGACAACTGTTTATAACAAGGACAAGAGAGTTGCCAGGAGATGCTGTGATGGGAGGAGAAAGTACACCGCAGAGAAGGAAATGGCTGCTTGATGCCGGCAACTCATCAGCCAGAAAGGTTGAAAAGCCACTTTCCAAACCTGGTGTTCGTTTGTGTTAGACCTCCTATATAGTTAGTTGTCGCCGTGCAGTTCAATATACGGTCGTTTCCTTTTGCCCGCTAGTTACCTGTATTTGCAACGACAGATATTTCCTATCAACGGCACCTGGCCGGTCACGATCAATCAAACCCTTTTGCGTGACCGGCCGGGCCACACGCACGCAACATTTTAACGCAACATCTTGCAACATTATTATTATTAACCAGACATCCTGACCGAACAAGCTTGTCAGTTCAAGAAATGATTTATGATAAAGGAAACATTTCGATTAAAGATTGCAGCCCACCTTCCTCCAAAATTAAATCATTTACAATTCCAATACTCAATTCTGTCACAAGAGAGGCCAATTTCCTCCCACAGTTGCATTAAATATAACTCTTTGTCAATTTCTTTGTAACGAGTAATTCTCTCACTGATATGTCATTCCGTCGATAAACTCTAAAAGTTCCTTTTATAGATACAAAAGTTTTATGTCACAGGACCATAAAGGATAGAAACATTGTCTCTCGCGGGAAAAATTTCTTGTAAATTATCTTCGATGATAAGTGAGGCAGAATGTTTTTCCAGTTTCTTATATATTCCTTTGCATTAAAGATCCGACAAGCGTTCAGTATCCAGAAGCATCATGAAGCAATCAAGTATAGATAGGAGTGAAACCCGAGAAGGATCTAGCTCCACGGACAGCAAAGAGCTTGTCTTAATGTCTGCTTCACTGCTTGTCTCACTTCTCTAATCTTCCAGCAGTAAAGAAACGGATTTAATGTAGAATTAAATTAAACTAAGCCTATCGTCAACCGCCAGAAGACGACTGAGTGCAATGAATCTGTGTTGCTTTGGCTGATCAAAGTTTCTATTATAAAATATGGTATATAACAAACAACTAATGCAAACTGCACCCACAGTGCACTGTACATCGCTTTTCTGTATTTCACCATGTTCAATGCATTTGGTTGGCTCAGCTGTTGTTGGACATGATGTTGTACTTCAGCCTGATGATGACTGAGAGTACGAAAAATCTTTGTGTACGAGGTGATTGAGATTAGCAGAAATAGTGATATGCCTATACGACCAAGCCATAAGGCTATACGGTAATTTAAAATACAGAACAAACAGATTAAACTTGATAAAACCCAAAAGGCAGCTACCATAATATATGTGCGTTTCAAAGTTACAGTTTGTCTGTATCTCAGTCCCAACAATAAGGCTACAAGCCTGTCCACGCTTATGGCCGTCATCGTCAATAAAGAAACTCCGCAAAATGTGTAGCTTGTTGTGAAGGCGGCGTGGCTTGCGTATCGACAAAGACCCCAGTTATCGTTAGCCAAGGACATGAAATAAGTAGCCATCATAGGCTGGCTAAAAATACCAACCAACAGGTCAGTTGTTGCCAGACGGCGTGTTGGACGGCGGGTGAAGGGAAGATTCTTTGTGAAGGGCAACAAGGATAAGAGAATTCCCAAGAATTGTTGTAATAGAGAAAATAATGTAAACTGCAGCTGAAGAATAGAGTGATTGTGGTTGTAATCCACCTGCCAAAAAAGGGAAGCACCGAAGATCTTCAAATGCATTTGTCTGTGCTCCATCTTTGGTTAGATTTGTTTCCGCCATCATTCTGCAGTCGTTTTGTTCTTTCCTCCAGGTTACGTGTGATTGCAACATAAAATATTGCGTCTAGAGAGCACCTGCCCAGCCTTGAAATCACTTAAACTGCGTTGATCACTGAAATTTAATAATCATATGAATAATCATATGAATAATCGTATGATCGTATATTGTCATTTGTGTCCAAAAAAAATGTTGAACCATTGAACCAGCTCAGTTGGTAGAGCGCCAGTCTGCTGTGCGGGAGGTCGAGGGTTCGAGCCCCAGACCGGACCAACACTCAGGGTCTTAAAATTAACTGAGGAGAATGTGCTGCCTTTGTAATTATATCAGCAAATGGTTAGACATTCAAGTCTTCTCGGATAAGGACTATAAACCGTAGGCCCCGTCTCCTGCATCTTCAGTGTTACATGGTCAGCAGGGGACGTTAAAGAACCCACACACTTGTCGAAAAGAGTAGGGCACGTAGTTCCCGGTGTGGTGGTCTATCTGTTGTTTCATTGTACATTTCATGCATGGGTTGGGTGGGTGAGTGAGATCAAATATGAACTGATAGCGGCAGCCAGAGGCGCCTTTACAAGCTGACGTTCGATCTCACTCAATTAGAATTGTAAACCGCCTTGAGACAGTATGTGATATGTGCGGTATATAAATACGTTCATTCATTCATTCATTCATTTTTTTTAAAGCCTTACTTTTGATGGGTAGGTCTGATTTTCCTCTGATCATTTTGCAAAGTTTTTTTCACAAACGATTGGTCCTTAAAAGAGAACTTTACGAGAAACAGCGATAATCAGGTTTGGTATTTTAGTAAAGTAAAACGTCTAAACAATGCCATGCGACGCAAATTATTGTTTGGTTAAAAATTCTTGATTTTGCATTTCCCATGTCAGGATTTTTGATAGAAACGAAACCTCGAGTCAATAATTTGTTCTACCTCGGTGTCATGTTTCTTAGTTCGATCGCCATCAGGAGATGCCTGTATAATTTTCCTTTGCTGTTTCTGCACCTTTCTGTGTGAAATGGTTACGATAACCCGGTGTTGGGTAATGCTAAACACCCTCAAAACAATAACAATCCTTTCTCATGCCTGTGTTCTGGAAGATCTCTTTATTTGCACCAAAAACGTAGCCTTTAATTTTCTCCGGGTTTTTTATTGGTTCAAACAATGTCATCAATGGGCTTCTTAGAAGTTAGTGAGTCCATCGGCACCATTTCGACTATATCTTCAAATAAATGCAAACAGAAAAATGGAGATTTTTACTAGCCTCAGGAAAGATTACAGGAGACTACAGCATCTCGAAAGTTGGTATTTCACTGGGCTTTTATCTATTGACACTTAGGCCCAGTTCTTTAAAGTGTAGTCGTTGTTTGACAAAACTGCGTTCTAAGCCATCTTCAATTTAGTTGAACCTTTTATCTTGGCATACATTTTTGTGAATAGTATCTAGAGGGTTGAGATCTAATAAAGGAAGGACATTTATTATATTTAATCCACCCTCTTATAGAAAACACCTGCTTTTCGCTGCTTGCGTAAAACCACGGTTTGGGTTAGACCTTGTGTAAATAACCGGCCTTAAATTTTTGATGAAACATAACATTTATTTTGCTGCAACACTTTTCATTATTGACAGTAAGTTTCCTTCTTACCTATCAGTTAGTTTCATATCAATATAACCCAGTAAGTAAACTATTAATGAAAGCAAAAATCTATGAGAGACAACAATAATCGAATTCATTTTAAGCGTGGATCTCAACTAAGTATTAATGACAGTTGAAAAAAAAAAAGACATTTACGATTTTTTTCCCTGGAAATTATTGACCATTATATTAAAAAATCGAGGCCATAGTGGGTTTTGTGACCACCACGTAAATCAGATGTCCGTTGTCACTCAAACATTTTCCTACAATTTATAATCATAAAATTATATTAATTACTGGATTGTGATTGGTTTAAAAGACTCCTGTTTTCTACTAATTCACTGCCAAATTGTTATCGGACAGTCCAATGAGTCCTTACTAGGGAGAAGTGACATTTATGGCTACATAAATGAGTAGGTGTCGTTCAAATTATGATCAGCTTCTGGAAACCAAACTCGAATGGGAGGCGAAACGTCAATCAGTTGGAGACAACTTGAATGCCGACTGTGGACTTCTAACATAAAAGCAGGGGCAAAAATGATTTAGTTTCTCGACATCACTGTCGTTCACTGAGTTCAAAAGCTCATGACAACAATAACAATCTTATTATTTTTTCTTCCCATGACAAACTGGCAATGCTTGAGATAAAATAAAATTAGTTCGTTACACAAGCTGTCATTCATTTCGCAGATGGAACCACCCGAACCTTCTTCCTTTGTTTTCAAACATTCTCACCAGAATTTACTCTTGCGGCAACAGCGCTGGATTGGGTGGGGTGCGACAAGTTTTTAATCTCAATCAGTTAATTTAGGTACCAATTAGCACTGAGAGGTAATTTTGTCGAAGGACCTATCCTTCAGGTTACGTGTGATTGCAACATAAAATGTTCCGTCTAGAGAGCACCTGCCCAGCCTTGACATCACTTAAACTGCTTTGATCACTGAAACTTAATAATCATATGAATCATCATATGTATCATCATATGAAAACTTTTCAGTCTTGTTTACACGTTTGAAATGCTCGGGAATATTGTCATTTCTGTCCAAAAAATATGGTTCACCATTCTTTTTAAAGCCTTACTTTTGATGAGTAGGTCTGATTTTCTACTTATCATTTTTCAAAATTTGTCTTTCACAAACGATTGGTCCTTAAAAGACAACTTTACGAGAAACAGTGATAATCAGGTTTGGTGTTAGTAAAGTAAAACGTTTAATCAATGCCATGCAACGCAAATTGTTATTTGGTTAGAAATCCTTGATTTTACATTTCCCATGTCAGATTTTTGATGAAAAACGAAATCTCGAGTCAATATTTAGTTCTAGTTTGCTGACATTTCCTCAGTTCGATCGCCATCAGGAGATGCCTTTGTATAATTCTCCTTTGCTATTTCTGCAGCTTTCTTTGTGAAATGGTTACGATAATCTGGTGTTGGGTAATGATAAACACCCTCAAAATAATAACAATCCGGATCAATATCAGTATCTGGGCAACTGCCCACCTACCCCTCCCCTAACCCAACATTAACCTTAACTTGTTGTCAATTGACTGTTGTTGACTGTTGTTTTTTTCATCGGCTGTGTTCTAGATAATCTCTTCATTTGCACCAAAAACTTAGCCTTTAATCCTTTCCGGGTTATCACTGATTCAAACAATGTTATCAATAAGCTTCTTACAAGTTAATGAGTCCATCGGCACCATTCGACTATATCTTCAAATAAATGCTATAAATATAAGTCCTCTCCAGTTCTACGAAATATTTTGCCATCAAACAGAAAAATGGCTAGTCAATATCGAAGAGATTTCTTCAGGAATGAAGTGTTGAAATTTTTACTAGCCTCGGAAAAACTTGTGAATTATTTAAGACTAAAAGTCTTAAAAATACCAGAAAGCTGGTATTTCACTGGGCTTTTATCTTTTGACACTTAGGGCCAGTTCTTTAAACAAAGTTTAGTCTTTGTTTGACAAAACTGCGCTCTAAGCCATCTTCAATTTAGCTTAAACTTTTATCCAAACATATATTTTTGTGAAAGTATATCAAGAGGGCCAAAAGCTAATAAAGGAAAGACATTTATTTTATTAAATAAACCCTCTCATAGAGAACACCTAAGGTTCACTGCTTACGTAAAAGCACAGTTTGGGTTAGATCTCGTGTAAATAACCAGCCCTTCAATTTTTGATGTAACATTCCATTTATTCTGCTGCAACACTTTTCAGAATTTACATTAAATTTACACGGCAATTTTGAGTCAAAGTCAAGCGCTTCATTCATGCAGTGAGGTTAAAAAATTGAAATGATTTCACCATTCGTTAGTGAAGAACTGGAAAGTCTCTCCTTCACTACTCTTTCAGGATCAATTTTATCCTATAAATGTACTTTCATATCACTAAGAAAGTAAAACAAGAGAGTAAAATCAAGCTAGCATCCCGTTTTTTGCCCTACCATGCGTGCACGGCATTTTTTTTTTTTTTTTTTTTTTTGTCGATCAAATCATAATTAAGTTGTTGTATTCAAAATAACATGCATGGAACTTACATGTCCCAAGTATTGCCGTTAGTGATACAACTCTCTGTCCTTTAGCTGTGCGTGCACTTGGAAATAAAGTTTATCCACAGAAGCCGCGATTTAAGCCATTTCTTGTTGGTAAGATAAGGAATTTTTTTCGTATCAAGCCAGCTGTATTGTGTACGCCAGGCAAATTCGTTCTTCTGGATGCAATATGCTAACGCTATTAACGATCCTCGTTTGATAAGGCAGACTGTATTATATTCCAATGCTGAAGCAAAACAATTTATTAATCATAACCGGAAGCTAACAATTGGATAATGAAGAGCCATTCGATAATTTATTTGACTTCAAATTGGTGTACTATAAAAATGCGCGCTCGAAAAGTCCGTTAAGTAAGACATATTTGTCTTTTATTTGCCTGGAGTTTATGGTTGTGCCTTGCAGTTTTTACATCAAACAAACGGAGAAAAAACAAAGTCCTCTTTGATCAGCAATTGAATGTTATTTTATTCTTAGTGTTTGCCCTTGTATGTCACAGGTAAAAGGCTGGAATCTGCTGCTAAATAACAATGTGAGAGAGAACTACAAGTTTATTTAAATGATAAAGTTTAATAAAAGCACAAATTAGCATTAAGAGTCAGATTTAGTGACGTTTGTTTTATTATATCATTGTATTACACCGAAAACAAAATGAAACATAAATTTATGATGGAGTTACACTCAATGAGAGCTAAACTGGTAGATGAGTAAGTGTTACTTTCAGTTTAGTTAAACAAAAAACGACAACCAGTGATCGATGTAAAGGAAAACTGTCGAGATAATTTTACGTTTTCG